TTCATACTATTAGCACTGTTGTGTCCTAAAGCACTTCCTATAAGTTAAATAGTTAAGTTGTTAAGCGAGTTATTATAAGTTTAGCTGTTTCAGTTTTGCAACATATGACCATCTTTTATTGTTAGTATTAGTTAGTATATTAGTTTGACCGCTTTCAGTTCCTTTTTTAACTGTTACTCAGTTAAGAGTTAAAGGGTTTACCAGATTCGTTGCACAGGTAGAAGGAAAAGTTCTTGGCTATATTAGTCTTTCAGTCCATTTCCATCTGTCCGTCCGTTCTAGCAGTCTGTCCGTATAAACGGCGGGATCTCGGGAACTATTAATGTGATGTGATGATCGTGATTATACCTGTTACTCCTAAGAGTAATCTACTATAAAGTAAAGGATATAATAAATTCTTTGAAAATTATTAAGCTGGTAGAAGAAAGCGAGTGCGAATATATACAGAATAAATATTCTTGATCAGAATTACTATCCGAGTCTATCAGTCCATTTCCATCTGTCCGTATGTCCGTCTGTCCGTATAAATGGCGGGATCTCGGGAACTATTAATGTGATGTGATGATCGTGATTATACCTGTTACTCTACTATAAAGTAAAAAGGTATAATAAATTCGTTGAAAAGTATTAAGCGTGTGCGACTCTAAACAGAATAAATATTGTTGATCAGAATCACTAGCCTAGCCGATATCTGTGGAGCTATAAAAGCTAGAAAGTTGAGATTAAGCAAGTCCCACTTCAAAGTTCACAAATCGCCCAAAACTGACACACCCCGTAATATTTAGATTGCTGGCGATTTCTATCAATTTGTATTTGAAATTGTCCCTTGCAACGGGTATCTATACCTTGACTATATCCTTCTATTTCGTTTTGGCTGTGAACCACGCTCGGCATCTGCTGTTGTTTTTTGAGATTTAAATTGTAGCTCCGGATTCTAAAGATAATATTTAACTAGTTGAAAGAAGAGCTCTTTCCCGCATTCATGATGCCAGCAGGACTTCTTCTTCTGCTGCTGACAGAAGTAATGGAATCGCGAGATGTTTGTCAAATTAAAAACACAAACTGGTGCCTTATTTCCCTGTGAGGGGCGTGAAAAGTCAACAGAGTGAGTGGGGAAAACGCACATCGCATCAACTGGGGACATCGACTGAGGACGACAACGACAGCAACAGCATCACGTGGCAACAACAAACCCATAAATAACAAAGCCAAGTGTTGGGGAAACTCCAGGAGGGGCGGGTGCTGCAGGGGTGGCGAAAAGGAAGCCACTGCCAACCAGGACGACAGGTGCAGACGGGGTGGTGCTGGTGGGGTGATTGTGTCGTTGGAAGCGCAGCAACAGTCGCGGGAGTTCAGGAAACAAGTCAGCACTGGCCGAAAAGGAGTTACAACATTTTATAAGTAAAGCAAAACCTCATGCTAAAAATGATTCATTTCCATTAGGGAAAAATATAATTTTGCTTAGCTAAAGTATGAGCCTAAAATGATGATTCGACTTTAACCTCTTTTTTGGGGCTTAAAAGCTAAATTACTTTTTTCTTAGCCATCAGTTATATAAATAGATAATAGTTATGTTTTCAAAACATATTTATGAGTATAAGAAAGCTCATTTTATTATATTCTGACAACATTTTCCTCTGTTCACTCAAATATAGGGGAGTGACACAACAGATTGGAAGGAGAAAAAGAACAGGGCTTATGCAAAGAAATATTTACAATCAAGTCGATTAACAAAAGGAAACCTTGTGACGCGCACTTTGAGTTTTTCCTTGTTGTTTCTGAACCCCGCTTTCTGTTTTATTTTTTTTTTTTGTATTTTCCACATTCACCCGCTGCTCGGGTGGTTTTTGCGTTTTTAATTAAAAATCAGTAGACTCACGTAGTCGCTGGCTCTGCGGAGCCTCTTCAGCCGCCGACTGTCATCAGCGCCATTTGGCAAATCAACGTAATCATTGCTCCTCCCTGCTGCCCGTTGTTTTCGCACCCCTGAACAGAAATATTTTTTATAAATACTACGGAGGCAGCACTTGAGATCTTTGCCACATTTCCCCGCTAGCGACACAATTCATAAGCGACGTCATCATTAGGGAAACATTTGCCGCCTACACGCTCCTGCCACACGAGTGTGTGAATTGTGGCGACTCCCGCTGATTTCTGCCTGCTTTCCTGCCCACCTCCCCATCAAACATCCTGGCCCAGTGCTTATTGTCTTAAGAGGAAGTCTGCTGCGGAGCGGAAGGGGCAGGAGGAGCAGGAGGGGGCACGGCCGCCGAGATTGGCAAGCGGATTGGTGCTACGCACCTTATTTACTTAATATATTATAAAATATTATAAAACCTCTGCAAGGTAATAAATATTAAATATTAAAAAAAATTAAGTACAGTTTTGTTTGAAGCCAAGTTTATTTTAAAACTTAAATATTAAAACGTAAATTTTCAAACGTAAATATCAAAAAGCGAAAACTTATATAACTCAATAGACATTGGCCATTTTTGTTATTTATTTAAATATAATTTTTAACATTATGAGGCATGACTCCTTCAGCTTTTCCCGCCTCAGCTCGCTGATTCGACCCACTGTGCCTTCACCGTTCAGCGAGCAATTGCAGCTTTGCTTTTTGCGCGTTCTATGCCCATCTATGCCCATCTGTGCCCATCCGCCCCTTTTGAAGTGCTTTCGCCCCTGCCTTTCTCTTGCCACTGCTTTTTGCCACTCGCTTTGTATTTTATATATATTTCGCAATTTTTCACTTTACGACTTTCACATTGTTTATGCAAATAGGCGAAAACGCTATTTGAATTTAGCAGAGGAGAATTATGATAACGCGATTGTCAACGGCAGCCCTGATTTTATTTTATTTCCTATTTTTCGCTCCCATTTTCCCGCTGTCTTTCCCGCAGAGATACAGTTATGATTATGACAGGCATGGCGCCATGTTGTTTGCGAGTGAAAAAATATTAATAAAACTACACAGCCACCCTCCACCACCCTCACCCCCCGCGACACGTGCTACAAGCCGCACAACAGTTGGTGCTATTGCCCCGTTGTTGCTTTTTTACAAAGTGTAAATTGTTTTAATACTTTTTAGTGCTACGCAGCGCCATCTCGCGTCGCGTAGTGGCGGCAGCTGCTCCAAACGGCCACGCCCTGCTCGGCCCTCCGCCCTCCGCCCGGGGCAACTTTTGACTTACACGTGTACGGTGCACGTTCAAATCTCAACTTTTACGACCTCTGCAGGATATTATCGTCGTTGTTTTACTAGCGCCACTTTCGGTCTTGTTGTTTTTGCGCTCCTGCAATGACGCTGACTTTTACCTGTTGGCCGTGGCCACAGTGGAGGGATACACTCGAAAAAACTATTCCTACTCGTACTGGATTATAATGTTCAGTACGGAGTATTCCTGAGTTGTCATATACTTCAAATACACCCTCCTTCCTTAGGAAATATGTTATATGAGAAATAATATGTCGGTTAATGTAAGCAGAGGTTAGTTTTGCAGGTTAATCCATCGACCACAAATATGTTTGTTACGATTTTGTTAGTTCCTACGTTTTAAAACCATTTGATTGGTTGCTTAACGTTAAATAGAAATGTATTATTATCTCAAAAAAAAAAAAAACCTTTGATTACCAATAATTATCTTCAGAATCTGATTCTCTCAGTGTAATTATTTTTCACCTGCTGCTGGCAGATGCCAACTGCTTCTGCTGACATTTCTCCAGCTGAGACCGTGTGCCTCAGCTTTAATCAAAATTGTTTCATGAATTGTTCAGTTGTTCCAACTGTCAAATAAAGTTTTGACGCCCTCTTTTCGGAAAACTCCGGGCAATTAAAATACTTTTGGCAGTCACTTGCTTATTTCGTTGCCTTCCGAAACTTCATGTTGACTGTTCTCTGCTGGTCTGGCTGCCAATTAGTTGGGCAATTTCGTCCATCACTCTTTGAGTGTCAAATAGGAGTGCAAATATTCAACATTAAATGGGAAAATTAATTTATTTACTTTCGTCTTTCATTGCAGTTGGTAAAACAGTTTGTTAGAACGCGAACTTCGCAATGGCAACTCAACTGGGCGAGTTTTGAAAGTAAGTTAAGCTTCAACTGTATCTTTAGTATACGAGTTTGTTAAAACCGCTAGCAGTTTGTACCAAAATTAAAAATAGAAATGAAAGCTATAATTCATTCTAAGAATTAGGCATTTTTTATTGGTCAAATGTTTTTTGTAACATTTTTGTATTCGAGATCGTTAGTGGTTGATCTATTTCGCCGAGTATTGAATCACTTACTTATAGACAGGTCGGCACAAAATATTTTCAACAGGACATAATTGCACTGGTTAGCAACTTGTTATGAACACGAATTACACAGTGAAGCCTCCATTGCGATGAACCAGTAGCTGCGTGTTAATTGAATAATACGTGGAATCGGTGTCGACTCCATTCCCATCCCATGAGAGTCCCGTGCAGCGCAGGGAAGCCACAAACCCTAATTTCCACTGATTGGTTTATTCCTCGTCCACGTTCCATCCGCCATTGGCTGACTCTCTGCCCGCGGCTCACGGATGGATTTCATTAGATTACCACATTTTCACCTGGCCCGCAGTCTAATGACCACCTATGAGTGCGCCGCTAATGTGGCAACAGAACGCCCAAGGGACGCGGGCTGTGTTCCTCCCTTGTTGGCCGTGATTGAAATGGGTCAATCGCTAAACGGCCTGAAATGTGTCAAATGGCCCGAAGACAGCTGCATCAGCCAGTTGCAGCTACCAGAAGCTGCCACTTCAATAGCTGGCTAATAAACGCGACCACATTCTGGCTCGAACCAAAGGCACTCAACCGAAAGCCACTCGACCACCTGTTTTACCTGCACTTGTTTTGGCCAAAAGAGAGCGAGAGAGCACTGTGGTGAGTTGGCCGGAGCACCCGGCGATCGTCTGGGTGGTGAGTTTGACCTGCACCAACCTGGCCAAAACCCGACTTTCGGCCAGCAGCTACTTTCTACGGTCTTCAGTTGTTTGAGCAGCCCCGAAGCGAGCGGTGCGAGTGCTGCTCTTCCGACAGATAGAATCCAATCCGCAACGTATCCAAACGTATCCGAACGCGAGTGCACGTAATTGGAGCAAGCGGATCGCCCGTTAATTGCTGGCGACGGTAATTGCAGGCCGCCGCATACCTGCCAACTGCTTGAGGTGTTCCCCGTTCGTTAATGTGTCAATTGATTGATTGGCCCGCGACCCGTGATTGACGCGCGTTTCACTCACCGCGATGCTCTCGAAGAAGCGCTGGTGGAAGATCCGGCTGCTGCAGGTGGGCAAGCAGGACCAGTCGAGGAACTACCGGGACATCGTCAATCTGAGCGAGTGCTCCTCGGTGCTGGCCAACACGGCCACCACAATTAGCGACAGCTCCACCACCACCGCCAGCAGCGGCAGTCCCACCCGCCACCGGAGCTGCGACAGCCTCTCCAAGAGCTCCCAGGCGGAGGCGGGCAAGCTCTTCCCCCGGAACATGCCCAGCATACGGCGGAGTCGCCGCAGGGCTGTGTCCGCGGAAAGGGAGCGCCTGGCTAGCCGGGGGCGGCTGGAGGAGCAGGTGCAGCCACCGAAAATGCCGCAGATAGGGGCTGGACAGCAGTCCCGGCTATCGACGGTGACCAAGCTGACGCCCAGGAAGCAGAGTGGCAAGTCCACGTGCTCCAAGAGCAGGAGCAATCCCCCCGCGAAGTGCATCATTAAGTCGGCAGTGCGAGCCAAGACCAAGCCAAAGGCCACGATCACCCTGGCACCCTACGAAATAGCCCTGGAGCTGCCCAACGAATCCCCAGCTCCCACTTTGGCCATGGCAGTGGCCCAGTCATCCGGTTGCGTGCAGAGGAAGCTGAGCAGCGAGGAGCAGTTTCACTCCTCGGGTATCTCCTGCAACGGGGAGACCGACGACGACGTGGAGGTGGCCATGCTGACCGGCAGCCTGACGCCCTCCCAGATAGCCAGGATCCAGGGGCAGCAGCTCCTGCCCTTTGGCGACCTGAGAAACCTGAACCGCTGCCGCAACAGGAACGCCGTTTGGCTGAATCCCAAGGATACGGAGCAGCTCCTCGAGGTAGACAGGAGCAGGAGCGGGAGCAGCAGGGAGGCCCACTGCTACTTCAACAAGGCCATTGCTGACGATATCCAGCTTAGCGATATTGAAGAACAATTGGCCAGGTTTGATGGCCACTCAAAGAGGCCGCCAGCGCCGGCAGCGACAGCTTCCAAAACGTAAGTCTCCACCGGCTATCTCTAATGGCCATAACTCTCGGCGATAACTGGGCGGGGAAATCGGAGCTGGCGGCGGGAATGTGGCCAACTAATTTGAAATCCATTTGATGAGCTTTGCGTTTTCCAATTTAAGTGACTATAAAACGGGCGACGTAGTCGGCAGTTTACGGCCCAATTTGATGACTGCTTAATAGCTTTATATGAGCCGTATCCCTGGTCCGAAGTGAGCAGCAGTTGGGTTCTGGAGGATTCGTTTTCTAATCACTAGAATCATAGTTTATGGTTCCTCGAATGAAATGGGCTATCCAAAGTTTTAGACAAGGCCCACATTAAAGTGGGTTGGCAGGCTGACAGCTTTATAGATTTCTGACTTGCGTTGCGTTAATAATATTGGAAGTGTAATTTAATACCTTTTAGCTGCCGTTGAAAATGTGGGTCTGCCACTTTCTACCAATGTTGTTTTACAACTATTGAAAGAGCAATACGAAGGCCAAACAATTTACCGACTACTATTGCAACTGCTTGAATGATAATAAACTAGTGGACAATTGTGCTGTCTTTCGCCCTTTGGTTTGCAGTTTTGGGATTGCAAAGTGAATGTGGAATTAATCCTACAATATTCACACACTGAAAATTCACACACTAAAATTTAAATAAGTGGATCAGCTCATTCACGACTCTTGTTTGTCTTCATTGCTATTTCCACCACTGATTAGATTTTACATTGTTTTCGATAAATTCAATTGAGATCAGATCTTAAGGAATGCATCATTCCTTCTTGGCGGCGTATAAATAGAGCGGAGTTTTAATTTTCACCTGATCAACAGCCGTTGTATCTACGCGTATCAGTTTCAATTGTGCTGAAAGTGCAAATCCTACAGGTCGCCCTCGAATAATGGCACAAATAATCCGCCATAAGAGGCTCTGTCAGCTGGAGGCGACTTTCTGGGCTCGCTAAGAAGGTGTTATTAATGCTCGACTATTTGCAAAACTGGCACCGGAAAGTTATTTATCATTTTAGTGGCCAGCACGTGCTCCTCCTTCGCTCCTTAGCTCCTTGGCTCCTTCTGTCGAGTTTTGTTAACCGCAAAATGAATTGCATGCAGCTAAGTGGCAACAGCAGTGGTTAAATAAAGCTGGCAGCAGCCCATCCTCCCGAGGTCCTTCTCCTCCGCTCGCCCGTCACCTTGTGTTTGCATCCTGCAGCCTCATAAATTCCATCCGTCGACTTCATAAATTGAGTTCTCTTTGCCGCCTGACTGAGTGCCCCTCATTGGAAGGTATTCTGTATCTTTCAGATCTTTCAGATCTTCGGCATCTTTGCCATCTCTGCCATCTCTGCCTTGCCATCTTTTGTATTCCCTGCATTCCGCTTGCAGACTTCATTTGCATGGACTTCTGTTCATAAATCTACGCAAACTGTTAATTAGATTTTGTTTTGGGTGCAGCCATAAATATTGCTGGAAAGAGTGAGCCATCAGTTCCTCGAACAGAACTTTGTAATTTGAGACGCACATGCACATCCACGTCCAGATCCACATCCAGATCCACATCCTTGCGACCCATTCACAATCAGGGGGCTATTAAATACGCAGTTTAAATAAACCAAGCCCAATATTGACTGGCGGCTACTTAAAGCATAATTAAGCGCCTGGCGGCCGAACACTTTGCATAGGAATCTCAACAATAAAGTAAATAAGTGGGGTCCGCCGGCGGCCCTCTTTTTCCGGCCTGGCTAATTGAAGTTGGCCAGAAGGGGCTAGCAAGGGGCTAGTCCATGGACCACCCGAGGGGTCCAGTCCGCACTTATCGGTTTACGATTTGCTTTGATTTCAGAAAGAGCTACGCATTTGATTTTAATTGCATTCGATGTGCGCAGTAGTTGGGAGTGGAATGGATTGGAGTTGGAGCGAAAGCCTTTTGGCCGTGATATATGGCATTTTAATTGAAATGGCAAAAGGCCCACAATCGCGAAGGGCAGGGAAGGGGCCTGGTCAGGAACGTCCGGGCCATAATCTGACTTTAACTGATTCGCGGACACATCAAGTAACGCCCCTTCAGTGCTCAGCGCTTCGGTGAAGTGGAGCTGATTTTCTTTGGCCTTTCTTTGGCACACAAATTTTCAAATTATTTTTTTCGCGGGGCGTTTTGGCCAATTTCGCTGGCTGTCAGCGAACGAAGCCAAGCAAACCCAACAGTCGCTCTCCAGAAAATGAAAACCCCAAGATGTGTGACACAATCCCAGGCCCAAATGTTGTATAAGAAATGCTGAGTCTTTGTCTCAAAGTGGCTGGGCAGTCAGAACGCTCGTTTTATTGATTCAACACCTAATCGTGAATCCATAAAACGCATTAACAAAAACAAGATTTACAAGTGAATGGGGAAGAAGACAGAAGAGTTGATTGATTTCGCCTCGAGTTGGGGGAAACTCAATTTATAATCTATAAGTGGCGGCTCGCAGGAGGGGAAGTTAGGCATTTTGTAAGCAGAAAATGTGTTTATGAAATAAAATCGAAAACCGCAAGTAAAATTAGCCAAACAAGCCGTGGGCCAAAGGGGAAGGGAAGGCTGGCCAAATTGAAGGGCGTTTCTTGGCAAGCTCATTATATTTCCTGTTCTGCCGGCCGATTTTGATTATCTTTTCTCCGCGGATGCCCCGTGCGGATATGAACGGATCTGAGGAGCTCCGCATCAGGATGGAGTCAATTTAGTGGCCACAAGTCAGAGGTTGCTGTTTGGGAGCGTGTGTGAGCCAAGTAAAGTGTTCTGGCCACGATCGGGACGCGGCCAAGTCGATAACCAGTTTGCCGCATTACGGCGTTTAATTTCGTAATTTACGTTTAATTGAAAGCGGAGGAGAGCGGAGGAGCAGCCCGTGTAATTAATTTAATGGCCATCGCTTTGTTGGCCAAACACAGGTGGGAAGGCAGCATAAAGGCCGTTTTGTGCTGTCATGCCCCTTACAAATCGTTGCCAAATTGTGGCAACTTGGGTCTAGACCTGGACAATCACCAAGTGGAATTGCCGAGATCTCCAGTCGCCCACACAAAGCATTGATTTCCAGGCGAGCTCTAAAAATACAAACTTTAGAAATTGCCATCAATCAGACGGCGGTGGCTTAATGAGAACCGAATGCAAATCGAGCCAAGTAGCAAACTGGCACAAATGTCACTTGGCCGAAAAGCTTGTGAAAGTGTCTGGCCGAATCGCCGATCGCTGGAATTCAAGTTGATAATCGTGATTCGCCTGAAATATTTAAGCCACTCCAGCGTCGCGATTTCCGCAAATTAATTTCGCCCCCATCTGCGCGGCTCTATGCGGAGAAAGCCGGCTCGCAGATGGATGCATTCCGACTCCGCCGATTCCAGATAGCAATTTGCTGAAAAACACGTGTTGTCAGCCTGGCACATCCACCTACGGCAGATCCACATCGGAAAAATGAATAATTTAAAGCTTAACGGGGCTATTAAAGCGCTTGCCATTACGGAGGAGCTGATCTAAGGTGTCCAAGATGAGATTAGGCAGAAGGGCGGAAGACCCGGAATAGATCAAATCGTTTTTCCCAGTGCAACGAGATGGGACGTGAGTGGGGTCAACTCGAACACAATCGTCAGCATCAATCCGCACATGTCGCGCCGCCTACGCGACTGGAAGCGTTAATGAGACGCCGCTGGGCTCTTGGCCATGGCCAAGACTAGCCCTGCAATGGCAACTGATAAATTGGAGCCAGCTCCTAACGGATCTGTGGATCTGTGGATCTGCGGATCTGCGGATCTGTGGATATATGCCCGTGGACGTTCTCCGCCCAGACGCTCTAACAAGATCCTGTTCGCGGCCTCGGCCATTCTGGCTTCATTAGCAGAGGCAGTAAAAGTCGGCAGTGGGGCTTTCGCACTTGGCCAATTTCCCTCTCTGCGGCAGCCAAAGACCAGAATGCGGACCGGACTGGATGCTTGCTTCCTGGTTGCACCCAAGTGCATTAGTCTAATGCGAACTTGGTCTTGGCCATTGGACTCGGTTGGCTGTGTGGCTGTTGCTTGTGGCAGTGTCAAGTCGCTTGGACACTCAGGCCAAACATTTGATGGCTTAATTGCGCATTTTAGCAGATACACATGAATGCGCCTAGGAAATGCTGGGGACTTGACAGTGCACTGAGCGAAATAATAAATGGGAGAAGCTTACATTTAGAGGCCTCTCACTTTGATGGCAGGCCATCAATCCATTTTAGCACTGCCTTAAATTACGTTGAAGCTCAGAACTAGCCCCAGTTTCGTATCTATAGGAAAGTGGTCCAGTTTCTAGCGGTGTATTCTGTCGTGGGGCCTAAGGAGGCTCCTCAGCGATGCACCACACAACTTTATTTTGACAGGCGGCGATTAGAAGACGACTTTCCCAGCCGTCCAGCCCACCGCCCCTTGCTGCTGCTGCTCCTTTGTTAATTGAAATGTTGTTGTTGTCTGCTGATGCAGATGCTGATTCCGATGTTTGTTTGCTCAGCCTCCGTCCCTGTCCCACACCGTTCACCGTATCGCCGTCTCCCTCCCTGTCGCCTGTCTGTCAGATGCTTGTTGCTTTTGTCAGTTGTCATGTTCTGAGCGGGGACCTACACGATTTTGACATTGGTATGGCGATTGCCATTACAGTTACAGTTAGCCATGTTTGTCCGTTTGTCCGTAAGTCCCCCTGTCCGCTTGTCCGCTTGTCCGTAAGTCCGCAAGTCCGCCTGTCCGCTTGTTTCACGAAGGAAGTCTCGGCGGCTGATCAAACGCATGCAAAGATAATCCATTTACGCCCCAATGGGACTCCAATTGGAAATGGAAAATTGGAAATTGAAAACTCGTAGTGCGTGAGAAAACAGTTCAGCGTTTTGAGCCCATGTATGCTATGTATGCCATCATTAATTATGGGACCAAACATCCTTTCGGCCTTTTGCTGATCAGCGGAGCAGAGAGCCGAACCAGAGCGGTCATAGGCGGCTGCACTTGCTCCACCACTGCGGTCACGGCCAGCTGAATCAGTGGCACCAGGCGACTCGAGCGGGTGAGCGCAGTGCGCTGCAACCGCAGGAACGGCAACAACTCCGCCCGAGGGAGTGTTTGGACTGTTGCATTATTTTCGGTAATTGCTTTTGGCCATCCCGGGTTGTCGTTGCCGAAACTAGATTCCCACGTTCCAACAGGCGAGCCAGAAGTCCCAGAGACCTGCCCACCTGTTGGCCGTCCATCCATTCAGCCATTCAGCCATTCATCCATCTTTTGGAACGCTGCTCGCGTTTCACGCTCGGTTGGATTTGCTTGGCTGTCATACGAACACAGACAATAAGTTGTACTCTGTTTTTTGTTTGGCTGGGTTCTTTGTTCTGCCTTCTTTGAGCTCCTCCAATTTCAGGGGGCTTCTCCGAAAAGAGTCTTGGGCCGCGTCAATTATTTCGTAGGATTTTAACGCACTTTAATTTAATCAACTTACTGTGCCCTCTCCGATTCCCAAATGTAATCTCTGCTTTGATGTGCCTTAATTTGATGGGAGAGACGCGAAGAGATTGTTGCCAAGAAAGCAATTACATTTATCACCGGCTTCAATCATCATCATCATCATTAAGCGGAGCACACCAAATTAGAGGAGATATTTAATTTATGTCTAAGACCTGTGGGAGCCTCGTATCATTGGCAAGTAATCTTTGTGCCAGGAATTCACAGCTAACTAAATGGTTCAATTGTATGCTGGGAACGAGACCAAAACAACGGAACCCGTCAAATATCGGATACATATGGAGCTTTAAAAACACATGAAAGTCCGGCAACAGAGTAGCATTTTGTCAGGGAAATCAATAAGCCCACAAAAACCTGGCCATCAACTCGGCAGCCTAATGAAGCCAGCCTACCAGTTGGCCATAAGTATTGAAAAATACCTCCGGCAGACGCAAAAAGAGCGAACAAGTAGCGAACGAATACACGAGGCGAATTACAGAAGAAGAACAACATTTTGCATAAATTAGAGCGAGCCATGCAACATGGAAATCGCTGAAACGTGTCCAATGTTGTTGACAGCGTGGCAAGAAGGACGTTGGAAGGCTGGAGAAGCTGCATAAAATTAAGCAAAAGCTGTTAATGACGAGCGCGAATCAAACTCGGCTCAAACCCGACTCAAACCTGCCTTGAGTGGAGTTGGGCTTCGCCCCACATGCAACCAGCCACCAGCCACCAGCCACCAGCCACCAGCCACCAGCAACATGCAACATGCAATGCCGCGACATTAGCGGCAGCAGCATCAGCAACTTGCTCCCAAATCGCAACTGCCAGTGTGGGCTGGCCCATTCCTCTTTTCGCCCCTGCGAATAATTATGCATCTTAGCCGCTGCTGAAAACGAAGATCCAGATGCTCTTGTTTGACTTGGCCATCTACACCAGGGAGTGGCATCCGCTGAAGGGGGTTTCGGGGGCTCAGGACTCCCCGAAAGGAATTTAGTAACTACTTATTTCAGTTTAACTCCCTTGTATTCCCTTGGCACAATCAACACGCGTATCATCTGGAAATAGATTGTGGAACTGCCCCATTTCCAAGTTCCCCCGAAAATATCTCGCGCCTACGCTCCTGCCTCATTGCTTATGGCTTATCACTGGCCGGGTTCTGGAGTGGCGAATAACGTGTACCGCCTAACGGTAACGCTGCACTAAATCACCAGGCGGTACTTAGATAGGCGTTGCAGCACACACACACACACAGAAATCCGCGGAACTCGTGCAACGGGCCCGACTGGCCCCCAAGCCCGGCATAGACCCAATCCCAGAGCCAGTGGTGTCCCCGTCCAGGTCCCGATTCCAGCTGGCTCCAGGTGGGGCTCGAGCGGCAGACAGGGCCACAAAATGTGCTCATGCTCGGACAAAAAGCCATAAAGAAAGCGAAGAAGCTGAGGGAAAACCAGTCAAAACGCATAAAATGCTGAGCGACAGCAACACGTGCAACATACGAGTATGACGCGATTGCATGTACGGCTTTTTGTTTGGCTTACGGCCCGGTTTCGTATCCGATGGATTGCAGTTGGGGCTTTGGGTATTCGTGTGACGTAAAGGCAGTCAAACGCGCAGTTTAACCCGAAACTCCGCTGCATGGGGGCATAAATTGCGGCATTCCGCGTCGTTTGGGAGTCGTTCGGGCCAGACAATGGAACACGCAACGCAACAAGGTCACGAGTTGGGGGGCCAATGAACGAGATTTCGAAATGTGCCCTACCCGGAATGCCCCGCATGGCCACGCCCCCTGGCCAGATATAAATGGGATGCTCGATCGGTGATTGCAGATCGGAGAACGCAGATCTGAGATCGAAGATCGTGTGCTGGTCATGGATAATCAAGCATTACTAGGCCTAATACACGGCTTAACCCGGCCGAGACGGCGTTTATCTTTCGGCCAATTGTGAAAGTAATTCAATGCGGATTGGCTGCCCGGCTCTTTTCAATTATTAAGAATTGCATGTTACGTATTAATGTCGATTCCTGGCGCTGCTGCCTCAATTGCTCCGTTCTGTGTCGTAGTGCATTTAGCATTTCCCAGAATAGGAGCCCCATTGGAAGAAACGGGTTTCGGGGCATCTGAGCTGAGCGAGGCCCAAATGATTTTGAACCAGTTACGTGTTCCTGCTGCGGCTTTTTCTGGGGAAACTGCGTGTCTAAAATTTAATGAAATCGTGGAAACACAAAGACTGCGGCAATCTGCGGAGCGAATAGAAATGCCATCGATACTGTGGTGTTGCACATAATTGAGATATTATTACGGCTGCAGTTGGCATTTGTGCAACCCAAAACGTGATGAAATTGCTAAAACAGAAGTCCGTTAATAAGCAGCGAATGGGATGGATGGTATTAGATCAGCTCGCAGCTCGGCTTTTTAAATGGGTTTGGGGTTATTACTAAGGGCCAAATCATTGTATTGAAAAGCAGTTTCCTTTATATTTACCAGTCATTTATCAAACTTACAAGCTTACAACTCGGGTGACCGCATTTAATTCCCAAAAGTGTCTTCAAAATACCGAAAATGACGCCGACTTCTCGGTGTTGGCCAAGCCAAAAGCAAAGAGACCGGATTGACAGTTGTGGATCGCTCGGCCATTTTCAACCGATCGGAGTGCCAAACAATTTACTTTTAATTATCCTCAGACGTGCGCAATTGCGACGGGCCATCAAGGAAATGACAGACATCAAGCCAAATAAACTCAAAATCTTCTTAACCCAAATTTATGTATATGTCCAGGCCGCCATCCGTAGTTGGCCAAGCGGCATTTTAGCGTATTTTTCGTACTTTGCGCCTCGCGAGGTGGCGTTTGCTGCAGAAATCGCATGCAGCCGTGTGGAAAACAGTCAACAGAAACCTGTTGGCCGAAAAAAGAAAACCGAAATCCGGAACGCGTCTAGGCCGAAAAGTGGCATGTTCCATATGCGGCAGCTGGAGCTGCGATTTGAACCGATCTGATCTGGCGTGGCTCTTTGTCTTTTGGCCCTGCGCTTGCCGCTGTTTTCCGCTACCAAAGTCAATCGCCAGTTACCAATTCATCGGGTGACAGATTACGCCCTGGCCGGCGGCAGTTGGCTCTGGGTTAGAAAGTACCCTGTGATCGATCAACTTTTGGCACCGAACCTATCCGCAAAGCAAATGAAATTTGCATTGGCAGCCGCAAAGAAAGAGAAGAGTGGCCGAAACTTTCTCCCAACCAACAGCAAAGCAACCTTATGGAGGTGCTAATGGCTCCTGGTCATCCGTGTGGTACTAATGCGCACATGGAGAGTAGCTAATGCACCTTCATGCCACCAAAACCTCTTCAGCCATTCAGTGGCATTCGGTGGCATTCACTTTCTGTGGGCTCAGCTTCATTAGCAGAAGGCTAAGCTCCGATTGTGATGAGATCTGTTCGATTTGCATAAAACAGCGGGTCGCTTTCGGTGGAATGGCAAATTGGTTGGGGCTTCTTCTCACGTTGATTAGTAAATAAAAATGCTGGCAGGCCTAATGGCTCCGTGTGGCTGTTATTCATGCTCCGAATGTTGTGCAATTCGATATGCAGGGCAAACGTTTAATATTTCACACAGCACTCACAGTCGCTCACCTCCGAGCCAAACAAATGACTTTAATTGCCACACAATCACATGAGGTAGGAAGGCCCAAATGGGCCGCAACATGACCAGGAATCTGTCGGCCGTCTCTGCTTGGCTGCATAATCGCGCGGCGTGCCACAAACCGAGTGAAAGTACCGCAGAAAGCGGCGCGGAGAAGATTCCACTGTGGCCAGCGGTCAGGCGAGTGGCAGCAAATCTTATGACGGCAGCTCGGACTCGGGGTTTCATCAGATTTGATTGGACAACTGCACGCATGCAGCTGCGCCGTAATTGCGCCTAAAAGTCATTCGAAATACCTGCGGGCTCTCAAAACGAATACTATTCCGCTAGTCCAGCCGGCTAATTGCAGATGAGTCGCGCAGATGGATTCGGCAACGATTTGGGGCATAATAGACGGCATGGCATTCCGCACACGAAGTTCTCGGGAAGCAGATTTATATGGTGCTGCCAAAACTAATCAGCATCAGATCTGAGTTCAGCTGCTTAGCGAATTTAATCAGGTTATCATGAAACAAAGTCTGTAAATTTGTATTCCCACCACGCCCAGGTGTAAACTAATCGAAATGCATGGCGTATTAACTTTACAGTTCAGTCTCGCTTTCTTTTGACCAGCTTTAACCACTCAGAAAACTAGAAACCATATCCAATGATTGTTTCGTAAGCTGGGCAGCTCATAATGCTTTCCCTCTCGTTTTTTATCTTCTGCAGCACCCAGGCCAACCCAGTCATCGGAAAATTCAAGCCCACGCCCGCACCCCGCTCCTCCGGCAACATGCAGCAGGCACCGCAGCAGCATCCGCAGCAGCATCCGCAGCAGCATCCGCAGCAGCAGCATCCGCCCAGCAGCAGCTACTACACGCAGACCGAAAGCGAGCTGCTGCAGATTGAGGCGGGCGGCACGGGCCTGACCTTCGCCGCCCACTCGCAACGCCCCGAGTCGGCGGTCAGCCAGGTGGCATCCACCGCCCACCTGGACGTGCCCTCGGCCGCCTCCAGCGGCAGCGGGGGCAGCGGGGGCAGTGCAGTCAGTGGGGGCAGTGGCGGAGCCCCGGAATCAGCGGGTCGCTTCGTGTCCCCGCTGCAGCGCCGCCACTGCCAGCCGCCCAGCCACCTGCCGCTGAACTCGGTGGCCTCCCCGCTCCGCACCGCCGGCTACAAGTCGGCGGCGGCGGTCGCGGGTCACGGCTTCCACCACAGCCACCACCAGCAGCTGGACTTCCAGCGGAACTCGCAGTCGGACGACGACAGCGGCTGCGCCCTCGAGGAGTACACTTGGGTGCCGCCGGGTCTACGGCCCGACCAGGTAAGAAAACCTCCGGCAAAAGTGGCAGACTGCAAGAAAACTGGGTTATATCCACAGCTCAAATTTACGCGCAAGTTATTGCTCATTCTTGTCTTCATAAAACACAAACTTATTTTTTTGAGTGTTTGCACCCAACCAAGCCCAGTATCTTCAGCACGATGATGAGTAGCTTACATGTGTTCCGATTTGTCGCAACAAATTAAGTGAAATCTCGGGCGAGGTGGTTGCCTTTTGGGGCCGCTGGCAGCTCTTGCTTTCCATCGATTTTCCACGGTCTCCCCATCGGATTCCCAAGTCAAAACCAAAACCAAATCCAGTTCAGGTCTGGTCGTTGGCCAGTTGAGCGCTTAAGGAAATCGGTTGGACACCACTTTAATTTCACGCTGAAAAAACCGAAAATTATCGCTCCCGAATCGCCATCGGTATTTGTATCTGGCGGACAGCGAAAGCGTTTTGTAATTAAATTGCCGATACATTTGGCGGCAATTAGAGCTTGAAATGCCTGTCGATATTTTTCGGGCGGAGGCTTACATAAAAGCGCCTGGGAAAAGCCGAAGTCGGCCTGCACTTTTCCTTTTCCTCGATTCATTTTTCTCATGAGCATTGCGACACGATTTTGTGGGCCAAATTCAACACATCCCACAGCAGTAAGCTTGCAGTAAGCTTAATCGGAAGCTAATCCAACCTTCCGCCTTGCATTTTCCACTTCCAGGTCCGCTTGTACTTCAGTCAACTGCCGGACGACAAAGTGCCCTACGTCAACAGTCCCGGCGAAAAGTATCGCGTCAAGCAGTTGCTGCACCAGCTGCCGCCGCAAGATAACGAAGTGAGTATTGGCCAAAGACAGCACATTGGTTCTGGCCTGGCTAAAACCAACTGGCCGCTTCCAAACTGGTTGAACAGCAACATCAGTTGTAAAGGGATGGGCACTACTTAAATATATATTCATTTTTGCTTTCCGGATATATCTTTGATGTAATCTTTTTTGCGATACTTTATTTAACGGATGCCATCTGCATTAGGATTACTATGAAATGAGTAGAAGAAGAGTATTTTGTAGAGGAGGAAGCGGAGTATTAATTAAATTACAAATCCAAGTTAACTTATTCCAAGTTTTTTAAACACTGTATTTCTAAAGTGCTTGCTGAAAAAGAAGTTCGGGCATCTCGTTGTGACAAAATTTATAATTACCCCGGTGCGGGCATTGAGTGTAGAACATAAAGAGCCCGCCTCAAAAGGCCCGGCGAGATTAAAAACTTGCCACCGCCTTTTGAGTTGGCTTAATTAAAATTCAGGAACCCCGAAGCTGACTTCCTGCTAACTTTTTTCGTCCATGTCTACGTGTCTGTTGCAGGTGCGCTACTGCCACTCGCTCAGCGACGAGGAGCGCAAGGAGCTGCGCATCTTCTCGGCCCAAAGGAAGCGGGAGGCCCTCGGCCGCGGAGCGGTCCGTCTGCTGTCCGACGAGCGACCCTGCAAGGGGGTAAGTTTGGAACCAACTTTTACTGCCCCTTTCCGCCCCTTTTGCGCCCCTCCCGCGCACATAATTGTTGCAGAAATTTGCATTTTATTATGAAGATGAGGAGTCGTTTCGATTTCATTTGTGCCCGGGCGGGCGAAGTTTTGCGCCAGAGATTCCTTCTTGGCCCGCTCGCAAAGCGGGGAAAAATTGACAATGGCCCGGAAAAACAATGGAATCAGAGGGTACGGGATGCGGGGTGCGGGGTGCAGGTGCTGGGCGGCCGGTGTTGGCAACTTTCAAACGTCTCGAAGTAAAAGATGACAAAAAGATTTCATTAAGTACACTTTCAGCTGGCGCAGGGCGAGGGAAATGAAATGTTGCAAAAACAATTGCGCTGACTTGGCTCTGACAACATAAAGGCTAAGAGAGTCGCAGTGGCAGCTTTTCTCCTTTTCCACAGTTTTCCTCGCGCGAAACCGAATGGAGTGGCCGACCAAAGACGCAATGAAATGGCATTCAAGCACAATGGCAGTGGCATAAAGCAGTGGCACCCACAGTGCCTCCTGCGTCTTTTCGCAGTCTGGACTGGTCTGGGAAATTTGCATTGTTATGACCTGCTAGTCGGAGGACCTGCTCCACTCCACTTCCTCCACTGCCACCAGTTGGAGTTGGTCATCGTCAGCTTCGCACTTTTCCGGCTGATAGTTGGCAGCTCGATTTTATTGTGCTCACACTCGCCCGCCACTCGTAAAACTTATTAAAAACTTTGTGCCGCATGCTGCGTGTCTGGGAACTGGCCGGATCCTCTCTGGCCGCTCTGGAACCTCGATCCGTCGGTCTGGTCCTTGGATCCGTCTGCTACGTGCCCCGCCGAATGAGAACCCGCCGGATTGGGACTAGCCCGGAGTCGTGTGCGTGCGTCTGATTTCATGTGGCATGTCCAAATTGGCAGACGACTCGGGTTTATTATGACTCTGCCCCGAGGTCGGAGTTCATTAGAGTCCCGAATAATCAGTGTGAACCTGGCGGAAACTTTGCCAAACTTATGCACACGACTATAGCCACGTTGGATTACTTTGAAATATCTAATAGAGTGGCATTTGGCTACCTTCACTGTTAGAATTATTAATGAATAGAATTTATTGGCTAAATATATGCATTTAAAAATGGAAATTAAGACATACATATATGTGTATATGAAGGAAGGAAAAATCCATGGAATCGCGTGGGCGTTTTCGCCAAACTTTCCACTTCGTTGCCATGTGGAATCTGATAAGCTTTAGAGGAATTCGAAAATCGGAGCCATCCCCAGTCGGAAAAAGTGCTTAAAATTCACAGACCATAACTGACTTGCTAAACGGACGTTAAAATGCGAACAAAGGCCTCAGCCCGGAGTCACCCCATTGAATGGCGTGGAAAGCATGGGGAAATTATTAGGGAAAATTTATGAAAACGTTCAATGATCCTGAATCCTGAATCCCGTATCCTGAATCCACAAGGGCAGGAAGCCTTGGCAGTCAGTCGAGCGTAAGTGAGTAGCAAACGTGTGTCACATCCAACTGGCAATGATTTTGGCCAAAAATAATGGAATCGAGCGGCGGAAGGAGGGGCGCTCTTTTTGACAGATTTTCCGCACGAACAGCAACGAGCGGAAGCTGAAGTTTTGACAAGGATGTGACACTAAAGGTCGTCCTGGCAACAATGAAATAATTACAAGAAAGGCTGTCTCAGACTCGGCACTTTACAGCAAGAAATACATGTAGAGAAAAAACTGGAATGGCTTCAGTAATTCTCAGAGTTTGTACCAATTAAATTAAGTTCATTTTGATTAAGAGTCGTACCTGACCTTTCATTTATTTGCTGTCCTGTTGACTAGTAGCATGAAAAGTGTAGCTGAATTTTGCTCAGTGCAGCTAGGTGGCAGGAGCATAGCAACAAAAACAACCAGCAACGAAGGTAAAGCGCAGTGGCTGTTGAGCGAAAAGTTTATGTACTGAAAAGGGCATGATAACGAGCGTCATTAATAATTTGAGTTGCTTTTTGGGGGAGATTGCTGGTGGGTCTGTCGCGGGATTGGGCAGGACACTGTCTTGCCCGCCTGTCTGCCGCTCCGGATCCCGAGTGGGATTAGTCCGGACTCGAAATGGGTTAGCAAGGACTCTCCTCGCCGCCCGCCCCCGGGTCATTCGAGTTCAGCTAGGTGCTGCGATGGCTCCGCCGGCAACAATTTGTCAATAGCATAATTGTCTGGCGCAGAGTGCCTGCAAACAAGCGGCAGCCAACAGCCAACAGCCAACTGGGATTAATTGGATTGATAAGATAAATGAGCAGCGATTGCTGTTATTTACATGACATTTAGCCGGGCTGGCAGTCCCATGAAAAATGTCATTTTAAGTGCACAGATTTCACAGACAAACTAATCAATGGCCTAGGAACATCCATTGGTTGGATGCGGGGAATGGGACCGGGACCTGGGATCCATGGTCCTTGGAACTTTAGCACTTTGTGCCCACCGCAGAAACTACTTAAAGAGCTGCCTGCGGGTAAAGTTTTTTGCAGAGTTTCTGGGGTTAGCCACGCCAGAGTGCAAGGACAATTCCATTCCGCCCTCAATGCGTCATTAGCTCGGTGGAAGGAAGGGGGGAACTGCCTAATTAAAGTGTGTCCTGCGCAGCTCCGAGGTTTCGAGGTTGCGAGGTTTTTATGATTTTCGTGGCCCGAGGCGATAAATTTTTGGAGCTGCCAAACAATTAACGACGCATAGAGGGAGCCACTTACGCCCCGGGAAATTATCAACCGCGCGCAGTCAGGACCCCGGCTATTCGCCTGTCAATGCTTAATGGCTTGCAAAAGTAAATGCTGATTGCGGCAACTCGGTGGAGCAAGTGGGTCCAGGACGGGCGCCTCGCCCGCGCCGAGGTTTAATAGCCTGGAAAGTTAAGCAGCTCCTTCTCCAGGATGCTGGCTGACTGGCAACGGCAATGGCAACGGCAATGGCATTGGCACTGGGGGTCCTGGTTCCCGAATCCTTTGCGGTGGCTCTGTGGTGGGGCTGCATAATTTGCCTGCGCCAGAAACCGCCAAACCCAAAAACGGAGACGGCGTGGAGCCGTCTGCAGAAGTGTCTGAAATGAGGGTGCGAATTGGCAGGGAACTAGGGTTGCTTCGGTTCCTAGGAGCTGCATGTGTCGCTTCCTGGGTGATTCTGCATATATTAAGGCGGACGGGCTAATTGCTTTATGCCGGAGAAGCTGCAGACAGGTGTGAATTGAGTAAACCAAATAGAGCAAACGAGGAATTTAAAAGTAAAAGCAAAATAAAAAGCTTCATTTAAAGGTTTTTCCTAGCTGAATTGGCTTAGTTTTAATTTATTATAATTAATAAAATTAGTTCATTGTCGCCCTGCATACTGCAATCATATTATTATATAGTAATATGATAGTAATAATACCCGTATATGAGTGAAATATTAATCTATTGAGCACACCCTCACTTTTAAAGCTTCGCTACATAAATAGTTTTTGGGCTGGAAAACCGACAAATATCTACTAAATACAACAGAATACACATAGTTTCTTGGTAGATTGAGGTGGCATTTCTAATAAAAGGTGTTTTCTAGACTCTCAGTTGTGTAGCTATAAGTTGATATACCCATTTCAGCATAGGCGAGCACTTAGTTTGGAATTATCCCTCTCGACGGTTTGACCTCCGAGCGAACTCAATTAGATCCTTAATTTAGGGACACAAAAACGTCACCGGCATTGGCCGTGGTTGCGAACCCTTTTGGGCGAAACGAGTTCATTATGCGAGCGCGTTTAAATTTAACGAGTCTCGAGCTGCGTGGCTTGCCAGGAGTCATTAAAAGCGGCACTTCCTGCCCGCACTGCTCAGTTTTCAGTTTTCAGCTTTTAGTTTTCAGTTTCCAGAAATTTCCCAGCAGCCAGCTCCACTTAAAGCGTTTCCTTATCCGCAGAGGAGCACTTCTGGGGAGGAAGGAGGAGGAGGAGGAGCACACGGGGCTGACACGGACACATGGCCGGCAGCTATTTTTGCATGATTTCCGCCTTGGAAAATTCGAGGGGGAACCGCAGAGCAGGACTCGAGCCAGGACTTTTCTGGCTGGCGGCTTTTCCTGGTCGCTTTTCCCAGTTGTGGGGCGTTGAGCTTAAGCGTTTTATTACCGTTATTTAGCATTTATAGTCGCTTAAATATTTCTGCCCCGCCAGCAACCAGACGCTGCAGATTTTTATCGCTCGCAGAACTTGAGCATATTCCTCCCGTTCGTACGATTCACCTAACTCACTCCCGCTATTCCCCTCCTGCCCGCTGTCTCCTTTCAGTGCGAGGAGCCTTTGTCCGGCGGTGACATCGTGGTCTTCGCCCAGCGGCTGGGCGCCCAGTTGTGCTGGCATCCGGGCTGCTTTGTGTGCAGCGTCTGCAAGGAGCTGCTGGTGGACCTCATCTACTTCCAGCGGGACGGGAACCTCTACTGCGGTCGGCACCACGCCGAAACCCAGAAGCCGCGCTGCTCCGCCTGCGATGAGGTGAGTACTCTTAAAATTTCTGGGCAAGTCGGTAAGGAAATGTGGCAGGAAGCCACAATGTTTAACTTCTGCGGCAGAGAACTTAAAGCATTTTACGTGCTAGGCCGTCCAGTGTGAATCCTCCTCGCTAACAAGACGCTATCCGCCTGTTCTCCTCTGCTTCCAGATCATCTTCTCGGACGAGTGCACGGAGGCGGAGGGCAGGACGTGGCACATGAAGCACTTCGCCTGCCAGGAGTGCGAGCACCAGCTGGGCGGGCAGCGGTACATCATGCGCGAGGGCAAACCGTACTGTCTGGCCTGCTTCGACACGATGTTCGCCGAGTACTGCGACTACTGCGGGGAGGTGATCGGCGTGGACCAGGGCCAGATGAGCCACGACGGGCAGCACTGGCATGCGACGGACCAGTGCTTCAGCTGCTGCACCTGCCGCTGCTCGCTGCTGGGGCGGCCCTTCCTGCCCCGGAGAGGCACCATCTACTGCTCCATCGCCTGCAGCAAGGGTGAGCCGCCCACGCCGTCGGATACGAGTTCGGGTCCACAGCTGAGACCCACTCACCGGGCTTCCACCTCCAGCCAAATAGCTAGATCCCCGCGCAGAGGGGGAGAGCGGGAGCGGGATCCGGGTCGGAAGGCCCACCATGGTCACCCCAAGGCCACGGGCAGTGCCGGCGATCTGCTCGAGCGACAGGAGAGGCAGCGCATGGAGGCCGCTGGAGTGGCAGATCTGCTGCTCGGAGGAGGGGTTCCCGGCATGCCACGTCCGGCCCATCCACCGCCCATTGACCTCACCGAGCTGGGCATCAGCCTGGACAACATTTGTGCCGGCGACAAGTCCATCTTCGGAGACACCCAGACTCTGACCAACTCCATGCCGGACATGCTGCTCTCCAAGGCAGACGACTCACACAGTTACCAGAGCATCGACAAGATCAACCTGAACTCGCCCAGCAACTCCGATCTGACGCAGAGCACCCAGGAACTGGCCAACGAGCTGGAGCTGGACAACGAGCCGGTGCGGGAGCTGCCCCACGATGGCTACGAGCAGCTCTTTGCCAACAATCGCAATCAGGAGCACCCGGCCGAAGAGGAAGTGGACGACGAGCAGCTGGACAACCGGCCGTTGAAGGAGGTGCGCTTCCACAGCGTCCAGGACACCATGTCGCGCTCCAAGAGCTACACGGATAACTCCAATGCGCGGCGGCGGAGGAGGCGTCGCAACCAGTCGCGCAGCTCCTCGGAGATGCAGATCAACCAGACGAACCTCCGCCTGCACAACGCCCAAACACAGGTGGGAACGACGCCCCTCAACCTGCTGAACAACCTGGACAACTGCGACGTGGCCAGCATCTGCTCCACCTGCTCCTCCAGCTCCTCAAGCGACATGGACGACTACGTGTACCGCCTGCCTGCGCGGAAACACTACGGCGGAGTACGAGTAGCCTACGTGCCCAATGATGCGCTGGCCTACGAGCGCAAGAAGAAGATGGCCCAGGACTCGACCCTCGCCCCCGGAGGAGGCGCTGCATCCGTGGGCGGCGCACCGGCGATCCTGCATGAGAGCAAGAACTGCACGATTTCCTGACCACCCCCCATGCTGCCGCCGCCGCCCTTCAACCTGAGCAGCTACTACATCCTGGACACGATCCTGGAGGAGCAGAGTCTGATGCTGCCGGAGAAGAAGCCCGGCTGCCTGCGGAGAGTGTGGAACTTCTTCGGACTGGGCAAGCCCCGCCACTCCAACTCCCAGCACAGCAGCAACGGAAGGCTGTACAGCGTGTAGCTGTGGAATGAGGTTTAAGAGTGGAGTTTTTAGCACGGTTGCCAACTGAGGGAAGAACCCCAACAAAAAAAGATTGGTTCTGGACTTGAAGTAAGTCTGGGTTAATGTTTAAAAATGTATATAGGGATGGGATGACCCGCGGTTTTAACTATATACTTGTATTGAATGGCAACCGTGGCTGTAAATAACATATCGTCATGTATAATACACTTAATAAGAAGGAACATATGAGATCAGAGATGAGAGAAATCGTTGTACAAAGCTGAAACTATATCATATTTGCATATTCATATACACATGCCCAGTCGGGGGCATTACCGTAGGTTTAAGTTTTTCTAGAGCTAGACTAGGCGAACAAAACAAACGAAAAGTAGAGACCACAATCATCACAATCAACGAACAATAAACTCCAGCGAAATCCTATCGATGGCCAACAAAAGAATCTCCGAAAGAGTGAAAGTATCTTAGCCAAACGTGCAATAATTTAAAATGGCATCGCAGAACGCTAAATAAACTTCCAAACTTCCAGCAAAGCGAAACACAGATATGTGAAGCCATTAGCATTTGCCACATTTGCGGTTTCTTTTCTTTCTTTGGACATTTTGTTAATCAAATCGAATTGAAGATTCTTTTGTTCGCGAGCCAAGCATTTATGTAATTTGCGTGCTTTCTCCGCGGCGCGAAAGGAAATTGTTATATAAAAGCTTGTGTCCAGAATACTTTTGTAACCAACCAGTGAGAGTTAAACGAAACTTATTTCTAAGCTATGCTATATCAACAAGTGTGTATGGAAACATAATCAAAAGTAAAATATATGTCTGTGTATTTTATTCTTAACAATTGATCCGTCTTTTAATTAACCGATTCTCGGGGAACCTACTGCAGCAGTAATCCGGACTTCCACAAATCCTGGCAATGTAAATTCAGAAGAAGTCTGAAATCTCGCTAGGTAAAGGGTATCTGATAGTCGAGGAACCCGTCTGTAGCGTTCTCTCTCGTTTTATCGTATAACATGAGGAGCTTTCGATTTACATCCTATTTACATCCTATTTACGTAACACCAACTGCATCCAGAATCCGATCGTAGGAATTATATTGAAGCCACGTGCCGATTAAAGGGTATTTGATAGTCGAGGAACCCGTCTGTAGCGTTCTCTCTCGCTTTTTCGTATAACTTGATGAGCTTTCGACTTACATCCTATTTGCGTAACACCAACTGCATCCAGAATCCGGTCGTTGGAATTATGTTGACGCCACGTGCCGATTAAAGGGTATCTGATGGTCGAGGAACCCGTCTGTAGCTTTCTCTCGTTTTATCGTATAACATGATGAGCTTTCGACTTACATCCTATTCACGTAACACCAACTGCATCCAGAATCCGGTCGAGGGAATTATATTGAAGCCGCGTGCCGATTCCCATAGATCCTTGGTGGTTTTTGGTGAAGCCTCAATCTTGTAATTTAGCATGAGATTGTACAGCATGCCCTTGGCCTGCATCAGAGCATAGCGATTTCCTGAAAAATAGAAGATAGATTTCAATGTAATGCAATAGGTCCTTGGTTTCAGTCACCAATGCAGCTGCGGGGTCCGACCCCAAATGGCAAATAAGTGTAGGGTATCAAATCGCCTTTTCGCCTCCCGCTAAATCGCTCTGGATCAAACCTCCTGGGTTGCGGAAAGAAGCGTTCATCCCAGTGCAACCCAGAGATGGGAATGCTTATATTATCCCCTGCCTTAAACTCGAAGAGTTTGGTGCCTTCATCATCGGTGAGTGTGTAATCCTTGGAGCAGAGGCGGTCTGCTGCTGCGGAAAGAGTCCACTTGCGAAGCGACTCCGAAACGACCATGTCCATGTAGGTCATCTTCTGCACGGCGTCGTAATTGAGAGGTGCACCCTTTAGTGCCTCTTGGGTTTCCTTCACCTCTTCATATAAACGCTCCTGGATATCGGGATTGTGAAGCAGTTCGTACGTGGTGGTGCAGATCAGATTGGAGTTGTTTTCGAAGGCGGCGAAGAAGAAAATGAAGCACTGGGCAACGATCTCATCGTCGGTCCAGTTGTCCTCCGACTCCTTCTTGGCCTCCAACAGAAGCTGGATCATGTCGGGCCTGGTGATGTGGTGCTTCTCCCGGTACTGCATGGCATCCACCACCAGGCGAACAAAGTAATCCACCTTGGCGGAGTCGAAGATAGTCAGTTTGAAGAACTATTGGAAGGCACAGTTACAATTATGGTGAACTTCATTCGCTTCCAAGGTACCCACATTGAACACATTCGGTGCAAGTAGGCACACCATGAACTTAAGGAACGGCATGCCCCGTGAGAAGACCAGCGTTCGCCCGATCGTATGGAACTCATTCCCTGGGTCAACGAATGAGTTAACCTTTAGTCCGAAAGCCGTGGTGGCAATCACGTCGTTGGAGAGCTTGTTGCAAAGCACTTTCATGTCCAGCTCAAAAGCATTTTCACCTAAAGCAATAGGCTGGGAGGATCTCAGGTGCTCCAAGCACTCCGCGAAGCTCTCGTTCATCAGGGTGAACATCTTTCGCATCTTGGCCGCCGTGAAGACCGGGGTCAGGACGCTCCTCATGTTCTTCCAGTGCTGATCCCTCATCACATTGAGCATGTGGCTAACGAGACGTTCGTTCGGGATATTTAGTGGCTGGTGGTTGGGAAAGTGGTCAAAGGCCTTAACGCAGATCTCCCTAATCAGTTGGGGGTCGTTTATCTGGATCATTGGGGTGCGGAGGTTAAAGAGCCCTACTAGTTTGCTGGAATTTCACAAGATACATTGATATTTCACACACCGCAAATGATCCACTTACTGATGCCTAGTGCGATTATAGAACTCTGAAGTTTGTTTTTGGAATGAGGCCTTTTGCATGGCCGATGCAGCCATATTACCTACAAACGGGTACGGTTTCTCAAAGTATATGTTCCGCTTCTCGAAAGCCCTAAAGGTGCTAGTACTCCATTGGAGCAATAGCAAGCCGATGATAGCCAGGACGAGGAGTATTTCTACAAAAGCCATTTCTAGCACTTGGAGTGCTTACAGCGAACTGAAATTGGCGAGTGCTTTTTGTTACTATTATTTATTTAAATGGACCCACACATTGAAATCTTATCTTTTGCTCTCTCTGCTGTTTAAGTTGAGAACAGCTAGTGAGTACAAAGCTCCCATCGATTTGTTTACTTATATTCTTATCTAATAATTGTAGCTTTTTTCGGGTAAACAACTCAGTTCTTGCCTTGCCTTTCCCCTACCCATCATCAGCTAAGGTGTCATTGTAGGCACACTTGTCGTACTCGTACTTGATATCAGTAATTATAATAATCTTTTCCCCATAACTGATACATCTTTAAACTGCTTTGGGTGTGTAAGATTCAATCGCAATGAGTTAAATCCGGCTTTTGCGCCGCTCTATGATACTAAAGGTAATACTAGTCCTTCACTTGTACCTTTTAACGGAGAGATATTTTATTGTAGCTGCTTCATTTTCTTTCCACGCAACAAAGTTGCAGATTTATTTACTAGCTACCGGTATCTGGTAGTCGAGGCACCCTTTCTTGTTTTTTTACTCTTATTTATTGAGCTAGAACCGCAAGTTGATTAATTAATAGGTTCTTCCATATTTTATTTATTTGATATTAAATAGTGTGTGCACATAATAAGCAGAAAACATATACATATTTGTAAGCAACTAACCGATCAGTCAGCCTATTTTCGCGGCACCAAGTGCATCCAGAACCCGGACCTAGGAGTAAAGTTGAATCCACGCGCGGATCCCCACAGATCCTTTGTGGTCCTCGGAGACGCCTCGATCTTGTAATGCAGCAGCAGATTGTATAACATACCCTTGACCTGCATCAGGGCATATCGGTTTCCTGTAAAGAAAATGTTCATATTGAATCCTTGCTCCACATCCTAACACTTCGATTGACTGACCTATGCAGTTCCGGGGTCCCACGCCAAAGGGCAAGTAGGTGTAGGGCACTATGTCAGCCTTTCGCTCGTCGCTAAATCGCTCCGGGTCAAACTTTCTGGGTTCCGGGAAGTAGCGGTCATCCCAATGCAACCCAGAAATGGGTATGTTGACCCGGTCGCCTACTTTGAAGTCGAACAGCCTGGTGCCATCATCATCCGTGAGCGTGTAGTCCTTGGAGCACAAGCGATCGGTGGCGGCGGCCAGAGTCCACTTGCGAAGGGACTCGGAGATGACCATGTCCATGTAGGTCATCTTCTGCACGGCGTCGTAACTGAGAGGTGCACCCTTTAGTGCCTCTTGGGTTTCCTTCACCTCTTCATATAAACGCTCCTGGATATCGGGATTGTGGAGCAGTTCGTAGGCGGTGGTGCAGATCAGATTGGAGTTGTTTTCGAAGGCGGCGAAGAAGAAAATGAAGCACTGGGCAACGATCTCATCGTCGGTCCAGTTGTCCTCCGACTCCTTCTTGGCCTCCAACAGAAGCTGGATCATGTCGGGCCTGGTGATGTGGTGCTTCTCCCGGTACTGCATGGCATCCACCACCAGGCGAACAAAGTAATCCACCTTGGCGGAGTCGAAGATAGTAAGTTTGAAAAACTGAAAGGGGAAAAGCTCGAATATGTAATCTTCTCAGCGCACAACGAGTATTGGCAAGCTTACGCCAAAAATCTTGGGCACCAAGGAGGACAGCATGAACTTAAAGAACTGGAGTCCTCGGGAGAAGACCAGCGACTGCCCGATCTCGTAGAACTCATTTGCCGGGTTGTCGTACGAGTTCACCTTCAGTCCGAATGCGGTAGTGGCGATGATGTCGTTGGAGAGCTTGTTGCACAGTACCTTCATGTCTACCTCGAATCCCTTTCTGCCGGGAAGGCTTCCGCGAAGCTCTCGTTCATCAGGGTGAACATGTTGCGCATCTTGGCCGCCGTGAAGACCGGAGTGAGGGTGTTCCTCATGTGCTTCCACCGCTGGTCCCTCATCACGCTGAGCATGTCGTTGATCAGACGCTCGTTGGAGCTGATGAAGAGCTGGTGGTTGGGGAAGTGGTCGAAGTCCTTGACGCAGATCTTCTTGATCAGCTCCGGGTCGTTGAGCGTGATCATGGGGGTGCGCAGGTTGAAGAAGCCCACCAGCTTGCTGAAATTCGATGAGCAGTCTGTTAGATTCAATAGCTCGAGGACAGCCGCATAGCTACTCACTGTTCACGAGTGCGTTCGTAGAACTCGGTGAGTTGTTTCTGGAAGGAGGCCCGCTGCATGGCTGATGCACCTATATTACCCACAAAGGGGTACGGCTTTTCGAAGTATAGCTGCCTCTCCTCAAAGGTTTTGAAGGTGGCCGTGCTCCACTTGTAGATCAGATAACCGATGACCACAAGGGCCACACAAATTTCGAGGAGTACCATTTCTGGGCAATGAGCGTACTACCAACTGTTCCGTACACTGCAAACTGATTATCACAATTACCCGCCACGCCAATTTATACGGGCCACTGTCATATATACGTGTGTACGAATATGGTAAGCAGTATTTACGCTCTCGACAGGTTTCAAGCTTTTACTTAGCCAGGTTCTTAGCCTACTCAGACACAGAACACTTCGCTCTTAGCCCGCTGTCCCTGCAAAATCTACAGCAAACTGTTGTGCTTTGCACTTACGGATTTGTTTGTATCTACGAGTGTTTTAGAGACGCTCTGCTCTCCAAGAGTCTAATCAAATGCCTATATATACGGCAATCTAATCTGTGACATGGAATACCTACACAGGGCAACAAAATGTGAGTAAAGTCGCATTTGTAAACATTGCACATATATTATTCTCAGCTACTGAACGCTCTTCAAATGCCATGCGAAATTAAGATTGATAGTGTGGAAAACAATCGCAAAAAGAGCTGAAAAACCTGGCAAACCAAAATGTTGATAGCAGATATCTGATTTTCTTTCAAGAGTTTGCCGCCTATGGCAGCGAAAAGTATTTCGATTTTCAGTTACTGTATTTCATCGCCCATTTGGACTTGTTCTCAAATGGAGATAAGGGTGCGTGATTTAGACCTGGTTGATGAAATGAAGCCAACGTTTTCATCGAGTTCTTTTCAAAGAAAGAAAGGCTATGCCTGGAAATTTTCAGCTGGACAAGTTTGCTCCAAAACTTCTGGTGATATTGCATGCCTAACTATTTTCATATTATTTCGCTTTTCCCATCGCCCAGTGCTTATGTCACTCTGCTAGAACTCCAGTTTATCGTGTCGCACACACTGGATGTGATGTAAGCCTGGCCAAGACGGGTTTGAGTCATAGTTTTGTTGATGTTGGGCCCACAGTTTGAATATTTAACATATTGACGGAAGGTTGAAGCCACCAACAAAAGCATAATGACAAGCAAACGGTTAAAACACAAATTCAGCCGCAGGCGTAATGGGAGAAATATAATTAAATATTTAGACGGTTTTGTTACCGAACTAAGTTGTGTTTTAGTTTCTGCTTCTCTGTTGTCGGGCTTAGAAACTTTGTAGCCATATCGTTGCCAAACTGAATATTTATAAGACGCGGCTCGAAGAAGAAAGTAAATGCGATCAAATGTCGCGGCTATCTAACTATATAAACGTATATAGACAAGTGAAGATAATTCCCTAATTTGTCTTTGATATTTGCACAATTCATATTTCCATAAACTTGGCTAATTAACGTCTTGGAAGTATAATGTATGTGTAATATGAGGTTCAGACAATGTATTGTAGGATCCACTAGCTTTTCCGAGTTCGCAGGGTTTATTCACCCCTTTGGAGCAGGCATGCACTCGAAATCCCCTATACACATATACATACACATAGCTTGCATACATGCGCGGAAAACTAAGCTCCTAAAACTCCCGCTTGTCGCACATGAAGGTCCTTTAACATTTCATGCGCGACTAAAGTGCTAGGATATACATGTCCAAACATACAGAGCCTGCGAGGACGTAAGTGATTGTGGACGGGGGAGCTGCATTTTATCAAAGCTGCCCAGCAGTTCCCGATGTCTGTCAGGCTATAATGCCTCCTGCCACGCCCCCGCCGCCCAGCTATTCTATTTCACTCCGTTCTGTTTCGCTTCTTTTTATGCGCAAATCATGCTGCATCATTAAATCTAGCTGCTGTCGCTGCTTTTGTAGCTATTGCTGCTGTGCTTTTCCCTTTTTGCATTTCCTTTCGCTTTCCTTTCAGCAGTTTGCTCGGAAAACCCTCTGCAACCGACGGAGGGAAATTTACGGCTTTGGGCGTTGATTTTGTTTCGGATTCAGTTGCCTAGTCCTGCCACAGTTTTATTTTGTTTCGCTTTTTATGGGGTTTTAAGTAGTCGTAAAGCGCAACACTTGATGAGATATTAAACGTTGAAGGGATACCCACAATCAGGGGACCGCTCCCGATTTGTGATCACACATTGTTGCACTTTCTTTGATTTGATGGCTTTTTAAATATTGGTTGGTGAATTTTTCATCATTTCCTGGATCAAAACGCTCTCAATGACGGTTTAATACGTTTGTGGCCTCGTAAAAACGAGGGTTGCAAATCGGTATACTGAGAAAAACTTTGGTATACCATTAAAGGAGGATATATAGTATAGGGAATCTTCTCAATCTTAATCGTAATCTTCTGAAAAACATCTGGAAACTTACTTTTTATTGTTTAGGTTTGATATATTTGAAATATAATTTCAGGATCGGCGTGTTTTCCTCAGTGAGGCGGTGAGGAGGCTGGGGGAATAGGTGAAAAACAGGCACAGCGCACCTGACAGCATCGTATCCGTCTCATCAAGGAGCATAAAGAGACCACAAGACCGAAGAACCTTGTCTGCAAACTTGTCAATGACTCCCAGCAACTAAATATTTTAGTAGGCAGTTGCGAGCACACAAAAAAGCGACGAGGATTCAAGAAGGACGAAGGACTCTGTGTGTGTGGTCGTGATTGCGTGAAATTTAGTAGCTCTTGGGGCGTTGTAGGGACAGACAAGTTGATGCTGATGAGCCTCATGATGTGCCCGATGATGATGACGATGTGGATGCGGATGCGGATGCGGATGTGGATGCGGATGCCTGATGAAGTTGCCTGCGCCAGGCTGTCAGGGGAATTTGGGATGTGGCGGCAAAGTTCCTTGACTCCACTCCGGCTGCCCTCCTCCGAACTGTTTGCTCACAATTGGCCGTACGTGTGCAACATTTTTAAGTAGCTTTCCTGGCTCGCAGTCTCTGTTTGTCTGAAGTCCAAGTGAAATGCCAAGGCTGGAACATATGTTTTCAATTTGGCTTGCAAATGGCAGAACCTGATTGAATTTACCTCGGCCGAAACGAAGATCGATGCCGCTTTAAGAAGCGAAAAGCTACTATAAAGTATCTTATGGGTTTCATAAAGATACTTCGCTCGTTTCTTAATCGCTTAATATTTCACGGATTACCTTTCCTGCTAAATATTTGATGCTTAGATGACTCCCTCGTAGAATAATAATAGAAATCTGTGATTTTCCGTTAAAAACTGCTTCTTTAACACCCAAGCAGCCTTTGGGTTGGCAGAAAACTATGCGAAACTTCATCTGTCAACGGATTCCCAGGAGCCAGGAGCGCTGCGAGGACTCGCAAATTACATTTGCGACGTCTGGTAGTCTGCATCAATCATACGCACCGTGTTCCGCAGCTGTCGAGGCGACGGGGGAACGACTCCTGGCAGATCCAGTGGGGAATCGGGAGCCGGTCTCCATATCACCACATTCAACTTGCTTGCGACTCGCCTTTGTTGTTAGTGAAAGCGTCGCTTAATTGTATGCCATATTTGCAAGTGAGAATGCCTTTTCCAGCTGCCTTTCCGGCAAATTAAAATAAATTGTCCGAAATTAAAGGAAAACTTTTACTTTCCCCCAGCTCAGTCCGCGACTGCCGCTGCTTGTTTGCCTGTTTAGGAATTCAAATGGCGTGGCTCCGGTGATCCTACATGGCCATGACTTGTCTGACAAGTTCCGAGTCCTTCCTCCGCAGGATATACATGTAGAATACGTATAAATTGTGCGAGTTCGTCCTTTGGCTGACATTCATTTGCGCTTCGCAGGGCGGGGAGCTGGCTCAACTTTTTGCATATTACGCACTTGGTCACGTACAGGCTCCATCTTTATTTTGCATAAGTTCGCCACTCCGGAGCGGATGATGGATGCCGAGAGCGCAAGGAATGCAGCTTTAAGCCCGGATCCGCCTGGAAATTAGCTCAATTAGGACCTGCCCGACAGTATGCCCCCGATAAGCGCGCCGATAAGGCCGAACAAAGGCAGCGGCACAAGGTAATTGGACAGAGCGCACAGTTTGGGTTTGAGTTACGGCCCGGCACTTATGAGCATTTTTACTGCTCCGCTCCGCCTCGATTTATTTATTTGGCGTTTCATTTTTGCGACTCCGACTCCGACTCCTCGACCTTTGCCAGCCACCCGAAACAAGTTCAATGGCTCGGCTCCAGTGGAAGTCCTGCCCTCTGGTTTTCTGGATTTTCCACTGAAAAGCCGGCAACACAATTTTTTATTTCGCATGTTGCGACGCTAAGTGCTTCCTGCGCTTTTTTACTCGGGGTGAGCAAGGTGCCACATCAACTTTGGCTGGCACGCCATAATATTAATTGTGCCTGCCAGAAAATATATTTTTTCAGATTCCGGGGCTGGGGCTGCTCCCCGCACATTAAGGACATGCCGGGGGCCACTTAAATACCATTAAATTTTTATTTTATGCTCATGAATGAAGTGCGTGCGCTCTTAAATTTTTAATAATTATTCATAGCCGGGCCTTTTTAGTGATAAGCTCACTTTGTTCTTTGGGTCCGGCCAGGAGCTATTTGGTCAGCCTTCTTTTTGTCCTTATGGCCGGTGGCTGTTTGCATTTCCGCTCCTCACTTTCACTTGCTGCTCGTGGGGTGCGGGCAATTATGATTACTCTCCGGCCAGCTGATGCAGCTTTTGGAGCAGTCCCAGTTGCCGCTAGACCTCGAGACTAGTTTCCCCTCAGCCAGTGTCAACCCTCCTTGCCCCTTTGGATTCCTGAGTCGCGTCTGCGCCAAATGACAAATTGCCGCATCAGTCAGCGTAAATGTAACAGAACAGAACGGAGCCGTATGCATCGCATCACAATGGATCAGAAGTGGCACGGTGCTCGGGCAGGAGTTTTCACTGCTCCAGCGGAACAATCATTATTGTTGTCTACTTTTGAGGGCTTCATCTCCTCTTGCACCGAGAGAAATTACCAAGGAAACTCATTCCTATGACTTGTAAACTTTATGGTGTCTTATTAGTTTTGTTTCAGCTAACTAATAGCTTAGAAATACAAAAAGGGGGATTTTTTAAAAAATACAATAAAAAAGAATGTTTTTGTTAAGTATTGTAATGTATGCCATTCTGTTTCTTCAATCCAAATTTCTTAAATTCAAAGCCTAGCTTTAGAAAC